TTTTATATTCATTTAATTAGATATGTTAAGATCATAATCTTATGTAGTTTTAACATAAATACAGCATTTTCATTTAAAATCAAAACTTTATAAAATCAATATAGACCTACTCTTTAAAATAAAATAGCAAATGAATTTTTTTAAGGATTTATTTATTTAACATTCTCCTAGTTAGACAATTTCATGTTTGGTAACAGTTAATCAAAAGTAGATCATTTATATTCTATAATTTATGGGCTACTTTCCATTTCAGTTTACCCATCTTTTCTTGAGTTGAATATTCATACTATGCATACATCCACCAAATTAAATTATTAAATCCTAAGGTATACAGGTCTTAAGATACTGGAATTAATAATGTTTAAAATGTAAAATACTTGTCATTTTCCCTATTACAGTATGCTTCCTTCATCGTAACGTTACAAAGCTGTGGTTTTGTTTTACCTTACCCCCTCATATTCCAATTAGTTTTCAATAGTCCTCAACGTATGATATGTTCCTATAAGTTTCATGTAATATTAAATAAAAAAAAGAAATACAACACAGAAATTAAATTACATATGCTAAAATTTATAGAGTATTTAAATGGTGGCTCAAATGGAATTGTTGCTTTAGTTGTGTTTAGATTTTATTTTGACGTTATTGTGTATATTTTTCTTTTTGCATGTTTTCATGTTTAATGTTTATTGCATTTTTATTAAATATCATAATGCCACAAAATTACTTACTTAGAATTATTTTGTTAATTAAACCTTTATTCAGATGTTTTATTTGAAATACTAAAGTCGATGGAACAAAATATATGTTTTTATATAAAATAACATACCAAACATAAATATCCAAAAACTAATTTTTTGAATATACAGTTATCTTTAACTGTGCCATGTAGTTGTATATGTTTTGGACCATTTATTCATATCTCTAGCAACATATTCTGTTTTTCTGTGATAAGAGAGACAACATTTACAAAGCAAAATGCATATTTTTAAAAAAATATACTAAAAAATTAATCCAAAAGCAATTCAAAATCAATTATAATATGCGTTCTTATTTGGTACACTTTCTAAATGACACATTTACAAATGGCTATTCATGAATTATGCATAGTCTCTTTATTGATGAAATAAAAAAGCCTTCAAAAACAATTTTCATTATAATACATAACAAAATCCAAATTTGATATTGTAAATATTACTATTAAATAAACTTGCTAATTTACATGTTTAACATGTCATTTTCAATTATCATAATTCCAAAGATTTCTAGAAGCATGCTTATATATGTAAACCATTTTATTTTTGTTATATTGGGAAATGTTAAAGGATATTAATAAAATTATACTTTAGAAATGTGTTATAATGTAAATATCTAATTTTAAAATATATCTCAGGGAATTTAATGACAGGGCAATCTAATTGTGATAGACTACATCTTGTTTACATGATTTGATTTCAAATGAAGAATGAATTTTCTGAATGTACATTTCTTTCCTTAATTTGGGTTGTATGTCTTATAACGTATGCATTTAAGATTGTGCTATTAAAGATGTTTTCATAATCATGTAGCATACTTAAAATATTTAAAATAAGTAAGATATATATTTTAATATTAGATTAGCTATACTACATATTTAGTATTTGATTGTTGCTATACATAATCTTAAATCTTTTACAGCATTGACAATTACCTCATAAAAGTTATGTATGCAGAAATGTTGTTTTTAAACTGTTAAAATGATGCATTTTGACAAAAAATATCTGTGTTTCACACACTGCCAATTTAAAGTGGTACTAAAATCAGTATTCAAAATTGGTCTACATTTTAAATGAAATGATTATATCATATAAGATTTAACTGTACAGTAAAGGATTATTTTATTGCCTTATAAAGGAAATCACTTATTTTTTATTATTTTAATATACACACATATCAAACATATCTGACTAAATTTAGATGCACTTTTCCCTCCTGCTCTTATAAGATATAAGTACATTTCACTCTATAGAAATTTGAACATTCTAAGTAAGTCCATTTCACACTAACACTGTAAGGTTTCATGATTTGGAATCATGACAAAAATCTTCAAATCTTATTACTTATCTTCAGATTCCACACTTTTTCAAAGTGGTGTTTTTGAAAGTTCAAAACAAAATTATCTATATTGTTTCCCCTTGGAATTACCCTTGATCCATTAAACTGTTTGAAATACTACTTTTTCATGGTAAAAGTCGTAATCATGTTTCTTTTTTGAAATTTATCCTTTTTATTATTATTATTTTAGCATTGTTATTAAATCCATTCATTTTTTTTATTATTTATTTTGCGGAATATTTCTTGAGCATCTACTATGTACCAGGCAGTATGCTGATCCTAGCGATTCGGCAGTTAATAGAATGTGCAAAAATCTCAGCCTTCAGGAAGTTTGCATTCTAGTACGGGGAGGAAAAATTTGAACAGAAAATATAAGTAAAACATAAGAACTGATTAGTAAAATATTTGGTTGAAATATATATCTGCTTAGACTGTGTTTATTAAAGAAATGGGGTTTTCAAGCCTTATGCCAACATTACACCCTGTTCTGCATTCAGATTAAGAAAATAGTACTGGATCACCATTACCATTTGCCAGAAGTAGAGCTGTATTACTGAAGATTTTAAGATTTTAAGAAGTAGAGCTGTATTACTGAAGATTTTAAGATTTGCTAGTAAATCCTAGGTCTAAATGCTACCAAAGATCAGTTTAAGCTCTCATATTTGGTCAGGAACTATATTTATCCTCACAGGTCTTCAAGAAAATGGGTGTTTGGAATTGGTCTATAGGTCTTGAAGATTAGTTATGGAAGCAGTCTAAACATATCCCTAAAAATTATCCCAGATTTATTAACAATGCAATAGATCATTTAAACTTAGTTATAATGACCTCAGTGATGGAATATAATAAATAGCTATTCGGTTTACTCCTTTGTTAAAAATGGGAATACTGAGATTTGAGACAGGGTACAAATTCCATTATTTTCCATACTTTCAGATTATATATAGCAGTGTGTTTATAATTAAATGGTTTCCTTCTTTAAACTAAACATAGAAGTCTGGAAATTATGATAAAGTTACAAAATGCTCTAAAGTATTAGTCATTCATTCTGATTTCATACATTTTCTTTTTTTTTCAAAAATGGAAGGTATAATTAAATGCCCCAGGAGAATAATACAGATCAGGTAATTGTTTTTATAGTTATGAGCACATGAGAATCCCAAATGTCTGATTTACCATGAGGTCAGTTATTGAATATTAGTAGTGTAGGCATAGTTATTCCTTAATTGTGATTAAAGAAAACCTTTATCAAATATTAGCTTAGTAAATATTACTAGCTAATTTGCATAACCAATATGAATTGAGTAGATTCTAATCTTCACACAATATCTTGGATAAATATTCAAAAGAAACTTTTTTTCTGATGTTTTAAAATAAAAGTCTTTAATCTGACAATTATACTTCATTTACCCTCGGCCTCCTCAAAATACAGTCATCATTTAATTTTTTTGAATTCCTAAATCAAATTCCAACAAGATATGACAACTTAGGCTGGAAGGATTTTTAGCAGATGTGTATTCTTTTGCTTGCTTATGAATTAAGGGGCCCCGTGTTTGACTTCCATTTTGAGTTTAAAGCAGAAATCAGAATTACCTCTCTCACTAATTACCTGCTTACAAGAGGAAAAAAGAAATAGGCAGAGCATGCTCAAACCACCTTAAGCAATATAGGTATTTTCATCTTGAAGACTGGTTAATATATCTCTTTTTGTTCAAAATATTGATATTGTGGACAGAAGTTTGAAGTGCAGTTTATTGAGAAGGCAACTATATGAAAAGCATAGGCCATACATTGGCTTTAAAAAATATTCAGAACTTTTCTAACCAGGACCTGTTATTCATAATTTGCAGCTAGTAGCTTTACCTCCAAAACTTAATATTTTTTTCTTAGAAAGCATTTTAGCTGTAAAGATTTCTTTTAACCATATCTTTATTTAGTTTCATGCTTCTATTTTAAGGTTACTATTTTTTTTTAATCTTTTAAAAAGTTTAAATGAAAGAGTTAAAAACCAATTTGATATTTTTTAAACATATATTTAAATTATAGTGAAACTTTAATAAGGTAGAAAATGTGGAGAGATATCTATTGTGAAATGCTTATGAGGTTTTTGGAAATTCCCAACCATTTTAAAACTAGTTTTGTATTAATAAAGTTCCATTGTAATAGTTAATTTGCAGTCATTTCTAAATAAAATGATTTAATTTTAATTAGTTGAAAATTGGTTAATTTAAATTTTACTTTAAAAGAAAAAAATATTTTGAACTTCCAAAAACAACCCACTAAATTCTAAAATATACATAGCCAATGACATCGAATATTTTATCATGTTGGCTGCTTTCTGACAAATGAGGTTAAGATAGACATTTACATAGAGCAGTTATTTCAGTTTCATTTCTAAAATCATTTTGTTTTCATTTTGACTTTGATTTTAAATTCTCCTTTCTTCATTTGCTTGTCTTAAAATAGAAAATTTTGAGATTTTCCCCAGAATTTATGAAGAGATATGGCCTACTATTCAAAGCATTCTTTTGAGAAAAGTGTGGTTACATAGTTACCTATTCTGTCAAAACTTGTCACTTGCCAGGCATTTGTTGCAAATATTCATTTGTTTATAAATAAAAAGGAGAGTGACTCAAGAACACATCAAGGGTTTAATCTTTCCCCTTTACCCCCTAATGTGTTATAGTTAAAATGTGATGTATTTGTCTGTAATATCTATTCATAGGTTGATTGATAAAAACAAACCGTCAGATCTGGTTACTCCACATTTCAGTGGCGTGTTTGTGTTTTGCCTCTTTATGTTGATTATCCTTAAGGTTATAGAAGGGAATATAATTTATTAAACTTATCAGAAAAATAAACAAAATTTAAAAGAAAAAGTTAGCATCTAGTGCTACTGTGTCCCACAGGTTCTTCTCCATTGACCCACACTACCTCCACTGGTGAGTTAGAGGAGCATAACAGGACTACCACTGGTGCTATTGCTGTTGCTAGCACATCTGCAGATGTTACTGTATCCAGTGTTACAGCTGTCACCATCCATAGACTTTCCGAGGAACAGCGAGTGCAAGTTACGAATCTCAGAAATTCAGGTCTGGACCCCAACACTTCCAAGGATGGGCTCTCTCCTCATCAAGCAGATACACAAAGTACAAGGAGAAGACCAAGAAATGCTGAACAGATAGAAAGGACTAAAGAGCTTGCAGTTGTTACTCATAGAGGTATTGGATGTTATTTTACTTGTGCCCGTTTAGTTACAACCAAAGCTATATTTTGGTAATGATTCTACTTAGAGAATGAACTGAGAGACAGCAAAGATGTAGGAAGCTAAAGAGAGTTCAAAGAGGTTGCTGAAAAATATAGATAGTGTAGCCAAAACCTGAATAATTTGAAGGCACAGAAATTAAAATAAAGTTCATTGGAAATGTTGAGGGGGGTGGGGGTATAAGAGTGAAAGGAATGCATAAAAGGTTTAATAGAAAAAATACTAAATACCTATTGCTTATTACATACCAGTTATGATGTTGAGATAACATGAAAATAAAATAGCCAGTTTCTATTAGTAAGTGCACATATTTACACATTGATGATTTATCCTATATAGTAATTTTCAGTATGTGCATGAGATTTTTATGCTACATAAATGCTAATTAATGACTTAGAAAATAGATAATTGGGGGAAAATGGAAACATTATGTCTGGTGATTGTTTTACTAGCTTACTTTTCTATTTCTAAATTACTTATTGCCTGACCCATATGATTGTACCGAGAACAGCTATTCATTGAGATTATGGCTCCCAATCTAAATTTTCCTTAACTTTCTAATATAATTTTTAGAGAAAAAGAATACCACAAAGCAAAATCAAATATATGTAGTTTTCTAGTCAATTAAAATAAGCCTGTCTACCTTTCACAAAATTAGGAAGTGTAGCAAGCATAATTTTTGTTTCTTTATAGCAAGTTTCATTGAGCGATTTAGGAAAAAATCAATGTAGTGTAAAAAAATAAATGGATTTCATTTATATCAATATATGCATCATTGGAAATATTAATTAATTGAACTTATTTCAAATATATCTATTCCAAGTCTCTTTCCAACTATTTTCATATATTCTCCAAACTACCTATGTTTTATGTAATGTGGTTAGGCATGGATTATACAGAGCATGGTATAAGTAATAAAAAAAACTATTCAATGTTTAGCACACACTGTGGAGAAAAATCAAGATATCTTTACATAAGTTAATTGAAAATCATACAGAAATATCTCAGAAACTCATTTCTATCACAATTCATACTGAAAGTACTTTAATTCTCTTTAACAAGATGAATTCTAAAATGAAGTTTTCACATGTAGTAGTCTCCTTTAAAGGATTAAGTCACTATCACCTTTCTTTATTCATTTTCTTACCATGAATATTTACACTCATAAAAATATGAGGGCATGATAAAATTCATGATTTGCTTAATCAGGTAGAGAGTTTTTTTTGCTTAATCAAGTAGACAATTTTTCTTAGTACCAAGATATAAAAATGTGTATATACTATTAAAATATCAATTAAGAAACCATTCTATTTAGTTTTTTTTCACTTTCTTTGGAAAATTGCATGAACTAACATTGACAAACCCCTCTATAATCTTTTTATCACCCATTGAATAGAAGTTGGGTAATTTTTGAATATGAGTTTATTATTAGAGATCAACTAATAATAATAATAATAATAATAATAATAATAATAAAAAAACACTGCTTTAGCCAGAATTTGCCATTAAATGATATGAGAAACTGTGGTTACAAATTAATATTTTTTTGAACTAGGAAAAAATAGTCAAGATTGAAAAGAGATTGAGTAGCAATCAACTGTTAGATTAAAGTGATTTGAAATTACTCAATCTAAAATTTCAAAGTACGTTCAAGTAATTTTCAATTAACTCCCTTAGTAAATTTTCTTAGTTGTTGTCATAATATCTCTGTGCTATAAGAGCTCATACCTGTTTCACCTTTCCCCTATATTCTTCCTAAGATAGTGTTTTGAATATAACATTCATTTAGTGGTTCCATCTACCTCGGAAATAAATATTCTTTATTGATGTTTAAATTAAGTGTATGGAAAACATTTTAAATGTTATATTCATCAATATTTCAGTGATTTAAATTATACTTTATCAAATCTCTATTTTAATTAAAACTGGTCCTGCTGACTCCTCTTCAGTAACCTACTACTATTTCAATGGTTTCAGTTGGCTAGTCATCTATTATATTTGAAACACAAACTGTTAACATTTGGGGCAAAAAATACTGTCAATGTTAGAAGTAAAGGAAACCTATTATTCTATGTCTATTAATATTTTTAAAAACCCTCTATATACAGCCTTATTTTCAGACATAAAATAGTCTTCAAAGATTGACTTCTAGCGGAGCCGAATGTCTAAACTGGAATTGGCTGACATAAAAGCAGTATTATTTTTAAAAATAATTCTAACTTAAATAAATTCCTACTGAGTACCATGCTCTATTCTTTGGGAAATAAAGATAGATAATACATTATCCCTTTCTTTTCTACTCTATCTCAACCTTTATAGAGGACATAGAGAAACAATTTTAGTTTGTCAAACACACTATATTCTTTTATACCTCAAGCCACTAAAAAGCGATTCCTTCTTTCTTTTAACCAGATCGTTCTATTCACTTTCCTATAGGAAGGTTAGATTTTCCTGTTATAACTTATGATTGTACTCTCTACCACATTTGTAATCACCAGCCCTATGACTTGTCCTGTAAATTTTAAGTTCTATGAGGTAAGGAGTAGATGGTTCTTGTTCATGCTGCATTCCCAGTGCCTAGAAGAGCTTCTGGCCTGTAGATGTATTTAGATATTTGCTAAACTAAGGAATAAATATTTACAATTTTGTTAGCTAGAGCATTCACCTAAATTATTTAAAGGCTTATAATTATACTTTAATATAATCAAATGCCTACATATTTCAGAATTAAAGATAACTACTTCATTTTTTTCAGTTATAAAAAGAGCAGTATTTTTTATCCCTTTTAAAGGCAGTAGTATTCTCATTAACACAAGAATAATTGCTTTTATTATATTACCACTTCAAAATTCACAACATAAAACTAGATATAAATGCTTTGCCTATAGCCCTTATACATTTATAAAATCAAAGGAAATATGTAATTAAACAAAGGAAAATTATTTGAATTACCTTAATTTTTTTTTGCTTTCTATTTGTCTTCAGTGAAAGAAAGCCATTTCCAGTTTTTATCAATTACAAAGCATCTTTGAACATTGAAATAAAAAGATGTAAAAAAGAATTTAAAATACTAATAATATTGGCTTAGATCTTCTTTGAACTATGTATAAATCACCACACCAGTTCGCTGTATTTTTGTCCAGTAGTCCTCAGGATGAAAGTCTAGTTTTTATTTACTGTATTTTAGTCTACTTTTGCCACCCACTCTGAGTGCAGGTCACATATTGAAACTCAATTTCCATATATGTAAAATAGTGTCGTATCTATTACATTAGGGTTATTGTGAGGATTAAACATGTAATGGAGGAAGTGCCAAAAAATGTTAGGCATTTTCTCCCAATTTAAAGATAAGACCAAATTGCTCACCATTGCAAGTTAGTTTTGAGGTAAGAGACTATCTAGGCTAAGTCTACACTCTGCCCCCATGTTTGCTATGTGATCTTGAGCAAAAACTTCAATTTTCAAAGCCTAAAGTTCTCAGTAACTGAGAATATCTGCCTCATGGGTAGTTGTATATAAAATATAGAACAATTGTTGACTTGTGTTCAACAAATACTAATTATTTCTATTAATTACCAAATATGTTTTAATTTTTTGCTATATGCATGACGCTGTACTGGATAGTAGACATATAAAAATGAACAATGCAGGCTACTTAAAAAAAAGTAATTACAAACTTTAAAAATTTATGAGCAACATGATCATAGCAATATTTTTGAAATGTTATTGAAGTAAAGTAGAGAGACTGACTACCTCTAAATATGAAAGTGAAGGAAGGGTACATAGAGGATATTTAAACTAATTTTTGGAAGATGACTAGAAGTTTCAAACTAGTAAACTGTGTTTATATCACTAAGATGCATAGAAAAAAATGCTTTGAGTATATACTAGTGCTGAATAGAAATATGATGAGTCCATACAGAAATAAAGTTTTCAAAGGAAGATTTATATATTTAAAGGAAGATTTATATTCATATAAATAAACCTAAAGTCAATTGATGTTTTTAGTTTACAAAATTTTCAGATGCTTAAAATTAGTTAATATCTAATGATATTTTAAATTTCATTGGAATAGTTGATCTTAACTATAAGATCTCTTTCTAAATTATTTACTAATATTTACATAAAATACCTTTTCCATAATCCTAAGCCCCATAGATCAATATTATAGCCCTCAAAACTCAAGTTGGCTTAAGATAGCAGGACCTACTTAATAATATGATTTAAATATTATAACTAAAGCACCCTATAATTCTAGAATTATATATTTTAGAATTAGATGGAATCTCCCAGATCATCTAATATGACATTATTTCATAGAGAAAATTATATTTGGTAAAGACTATATGAAAACTCAGTCTTTATACTGCTAGACTAGTATTCATTTTTTTTTATTTATTCAAGATTCATAAGAGTTGGATGTATGCAAAGTCTTCTATTAAAGGACATTAAGGTTAAAGCAATATATAGAATAAGCACAATTGGAGTTTTTTCCTCAAGAAATTTATAGTCATGCCATTTTAAAAATAATCATTAAAATGTGTTTTATTTCACAGCATTTGTTTTAACATTTTTTCCTATATGCTGTAGTATAATGACATTTGTTTTCAATATATAGACAAGTTCTGTCAGCTGTTAATGAGCAATCTTGTTAGTTGCTGTTTTTAAGTATAAAATGTGGAAATATTAATCTGGAAAAGTACATATATAATTACAAAATCTCTTTTATTCCTAGTAGAAATTTATATACATATATATATGTATATATACACATGCATATAAATGTATATAAGTATAGATATATAAACTTTTATTCTTTCTAGTGAAAATTTAACTTAGATTACTATAACATCTTGTAGAATCAGATATGTGTTATGAGCATTCATAGCCATTGCTGCTGTTTGTGTTTTGACATAGTGTAGTCACTTCTTTCATAGTATGTGTAATAGCTAATGA